CCCCCCCCCCCCCGCACTTCCCTACCTGCTGCCCTGAGCAAGTAGGTTCCAGATGCAGCAGGAGCCCTGCCCAGAAGCTGCTGGCTGGGCAGAATCCTTCCCCCAAGTGGGTGGGAGCAAGGCCTAATAGGGTACATGTTGGGTGGTTATACACATAGGTGCCTCACTCCCATCCTTGTGGGCGGAAGGGCTGGATGGGGTGCAATTTGTTGGGGGCCCCACGGGCTGAATGAAAGTACTTGGCAGGCTGGATCTGGCCTACATGCCATATTTTGCCCACCCCTGGTCTAGAGGATCATGGAACATTTGTCTTTGGTGCTGGGGGCACTAGGATGGAAGCAGAGAAATAATTAAACTAAGGAAAGAGATTTGTGATGAGAAACTGCATTTGTGTGCGCCTGAGCTGGCAGAAATGAGAATACACAGAAAAGATGCACCTGGAAACAAAGCAGAAGAGGATGGGAAGAAATATAAAAGCACAAGAGTTTATTTCCATTTGGAAGAAAAGATGAGGAAATCATCTCTATTGCCCCACAGAAAGAAGGCATATTAAAAACCTAACTCAAGAGGTACTACATTATCTACCTTGTAAAATTTTTAACCAAAATAAACTTGGAATAGAGGACTTTTCATACCAGAACAGGCTAACAAACTATTTACATTACTGTCTTGATCGATAGTGGTTAGTGTGGGAGAGTTAACACTAAGGCGAAACAGCAGAGCTCTGCCAATGTACTCCAGCAGAGAATCTAGCCCTTTATTAGAAAGACAAACTTCAGCAGCATTTCCAAAGTTTAGAGATAACAGAGAATTGAGCTTTCTATTCCAAGCAGATACTATCCATCCAGCATCTGTTGCACACAAGGCTTCACAGTGTGCTTGGAGGTTAATCCTGCATGTGCATTTATTACCGCCGACCATTCTGCTTTGGTGGCAGGCTGCTCTGTAGCTTGACACTTTCTATCATTTTTTTCTTTTCTCCCAGGATACTTTCAGTCAGTCAGCTTGTTGCAATAACTAATAGTGGCTCTAGCAGGGGGCTGAGAGCCAGGGCTCCTAGATCCAGGAGGGCATTCAGAAGGCTGAACAAGGGTGCAGGGTCAGAGGGAGGGAGGGGATGGCCAGAATAAACTAAGATTTCAAATTCTGATAGCCCAACATGAAAACAGTTTTCCAGTTAGATGCTTTGGTCTGATGTCCTCAAATACATCAAGATGGTGTATTACTGCTGCTGTGATTGTCCAAAGGCATTTTTCTCCATTCTGCTTCTGCTGTTTTGGACCATTGTGCCAAAGTTTCTCATGTCTATTTTAATTGTTTCAGTGTGTCTGACTCTTACTGGTTTATATGTTTAGTCTTGTCCTTATTTAATATGAATTAAAATGCCACTGCCACCACCAGTCTGAGTATGTGAGTCAGAATAGAAACTATTTAAATAATACTATGGATTGTATCCATCTGGTTTGATATCTAGATCTGATCCACACAGAATAATGCTGGTCTTGTCTTCCACTACTACTGTCTGTTATTGCTCATGAAGTGTTGACTGTGACTGTGCCCACAAATATGTTTTGTTCTTGTTCTCACTAAAAGCCAGGAGAGTGTGGTTCATTGCATGTATGTATGTGAGGTTGTTTTGATTATGTTACATTCACTGTGGAAAACTCATATTCTGCCACTGCAGCACTATGGGACAATGAGAACAGAATTTCCAACATGAAAAATGCTTCTTGAAAGGAAGAGGGCATGGTGGTTAAAAGGTTGTTGTTTTTGAAAAGGTCATCTATGTGCACCATCATTCCTAGTCATTTTGATGTTCAGAGCATGTAATCTTAGAAGGAACCTCTGACAGAACCCCTTTCCTTTTCATTCATCACTTACATAAAATGTTCTAGATCTCAGTTTGTACATTGCAATTATAGCCATATTTGCTTAAAATCACAAGGCCACCCTAAGGAGTAAAAGTAGTAAACAGGGGTTGCTGTAATCTAATGAATTTGTCAACTGTATATTTAACACCAGCTTCAAACATATTCATCCAAGATTCTGGTACCTTTTTTCTTAAAAGCTCAAGAAATATTAACCTGTTCAAATTGGTTATTCTGATGGGTAAGGTTTCAAGACAGGACAACCAGTACTGTGGATTATAGCATAGAATTTTATACCTTTGGCAGAGCTTGCAATAGAAGTACCTTCTAGAAATGAAGGAATTGACTCCTAGTGATGACTAAGCCTATTAAGGAATACAATGTCTCCAAAAAATTGCATGTCTTGATCTCAGTCTCCTTAACAATGCCCTTCACTTGGACTACATCAGCCCCCAAACCTTGAACTTTTCAATGGAGATTGTTCTTCCTATCAGATATTCTAAATATTAAGCTTCAAATTGGCACTCTGTACTGCCTCAACCACAACATGAAGTTTTTGCCTAAACCTGGCCTGCTCACTATTTGAACATATTTGCGGTTCATATTTACAGTTTTGTTATCAAAACTCAAGCTCACGGGTTTTTATTTGATCTCTTCTGCCTTAATCTTCATAAGTTTCATAAAGAAGTGTTATGCCCAAAACAGTAATACTAGCTTCCACGGTTCTGCTTATATGCCCAAACAGTACATCAACAAAGAAAGTGCAAGTTTTCTACCATGTGACCATCTGAAGCACACTGCATCTTGCTCAATTACAAATTCATCAATGGATCCTGCAGCAAACATGGTAATAAATCTAGCTTTCTGTATTTCTGAGACAGATCCCTAAGAGACCTCAAACTTGCCTTTAAGAAGTTTTCCTCAGCATTAGAGGAATACATTCTGATCCAAGGTTACAGTGTGCTTTGGGCTACAAATTGTACAGAATTTAGAAACTGGAGACCATGTCTACCTTGGGAAAAAGCTGCTTTCTTCAACACAGTTAGCTTGCAAACTAGACTGAACACCCCACTTAAAAACAACGTAGACATTTTTGATGCGTTATAAGACACCCATCACAATTTAAAAATAAACCAAAAAACAAACATAAGATGCAGCCCTTTAAAATAGTTTAGCAATACTTCCCCCTCCCAGAAGGTGGCAAATTTACCCCTGTATAAATCAGGGCTAAATGCATGCCTTTTGATGGACAACCAACTTGTTTCTCTGCAGCTGTCAGGCTTATACCCTGAGCTTTGCCTTTCTGCTCATGCATCCATAGCCTATTTTTCCTTCTAAAGCCCACAATTTTCCTAGTCTAGATATGGCCAGAAGTCCTTTGCCTTGAAGGGCAAGAGCAGTGAATTTTTCTGATCTTGTTAGTTAAATCAAATTGAAAAACCCTTCAATGCTCCTTAAGATGCAACCTAATACATTTTAACCCACCAACTACAACAACAGAGCCTCCTAACATAACTTGGACTTGTTAATTTGTTTCTTAATGTAGGACAGGAGGCTTTTCAATTATATTGAAAAAAAAGCATAAAACTATAATCGCACACAGCAATTGAATCGGTGGTGTTAAAACACAGGAGGCACAATTTGGGATCTCCTCATGTTTATTTGCACTAAAAAATACAGTAACATGAACTTGTTGTAGATAGTGTTGTATTTCCTGCTTTAATTCACATCACATAAGCACCTGGTCTATATGCAGGCATCAATTTTAGCAGGTCCTACCCAAATTTAAAAGGAGGACTGTCCTTTCTTGGAAAGCTATCAGTGTATTCTGCCAATTGCACAGAACACTTCATCTTTCTGAACACAGGACTCATGAACATCAAGTTTTTGTGAATTCTGCAATCTGTGTCTGCGCCTGTTTCTCATACTCTTTAACATGTTCTTCTCTGACACATACTGGACAGGCTGGACATAAGGAAAAACATCTTTACTGTCCAGGTCCCCAGGGCCTGGAATAAATTCCCCCTAGAGGCGGTGCAAGCACCTACTCTGGATTCCTTTAACAAACACTTGGGTGCCTATCTTGCTGGGATCATTTGACCCCAGCTGACTGCCTGCCCTTTGGGCAGGCTGGACCTGATGATTTTGCGAGGTCCCTTCCAGCCCTAATGTCTAACGTCTATGAAATACTTAGTGCTTTCTTAACCCGAGGGCTTCAACGTTATCCTCCGCTAATTTAGATGGATGGGTTTTTGGTTTTGTTTTTTACCCAAAAAACTCCAGCAGGGCAGGTTGATGTATTTCAGACATACTTCATCAAAATTTTATTTTAATGGCGTGTGTGGATATATACAGTCTGTCAAACAAACGTGTTTAAATCAGCGCAAATCAAGGCCTAATTCTGCAAGTCGGCCTCTGCTGCTTAGGGCCAAGGCAGTTCAAGCTAGCATTTCCAGAGTTGCCAACTCTTCGGGTTCAACTGCAAGAGTTGGGAGGTGTTGGAAAACCCCAGTGGCTGGAAGCAATCCATTTCAGGAAATCTTCTCTTTTGTTTTGTTTAATAATAATAATAATAATAATCATCCTCATAATAATAAAAATGAAAGTTAATAATCATGAAGATGAAGTTAAGTGTTTAACCCTCCTGATTACAGAGAAAACCTGGAAAGCGGGACCCAAGCGGAGGCTGCAGAAAAAACAGAAGGCAAGCAATCAAGAACATTTCTCCTTGTTATCAGTGGTCATAATTGGTAAGTCACATCTCTCTATCGCGGGGGTGGACACTAACCTGACCAGGTCGGTCATGCAGGACCCCACCACCACCACCTGCGCCATAGCGGGCCGCTGCCCCGTGACCCTTGACCCCCACCCGCCGCGGGCTCTGCCTGCAGGTCCTCCAGCCGGCTCGGGGTGCCCGCTCACGTGCCTGAACGTCCCGCCACGCCGATCTCCCGAGCTGCCCCTTGAGAGGGCCCCTCTCTGCGCCCCTCATCCAGCCTGCGCCCGCCCAACCGGCAGAAAAGGTGGCCCTCTCAGGCACGTCACCGACACCTAAATCTCCATGAGGCCCCCCTCCCGTGGGCTCGGGAGCAGCCTTCGGGATGGGGGTGGGTCTGCGCCTGCGCGCCAGCGTGTGACCGCGGCCGTTGCTAAGGGGCTGGCGCACGCTCCCCCCGCGACCGTAGGTACCTGGAGGCCGCGGCGGGAGGGGGCGGGGGAGTAGAGCCCCCGCTGGGCCGGGACGCATGCGCGCTGGGAGTCTCCTTTCAACAAGGGGAGAGGGGGGCTGATGGGGGAGCGTCCCCCTTCTTCCCTCCCCCCACGTGACCCGTCTGTGGGAGCTTCATGTATGGCCGTGGGTGCTGGGGTCCCGCCTGCTCTCTCCTGCAGGGATGTCTTGGCCCAGGACGGTGGTGTCTAGGGTGCAGGACTGTGGGGAGTCCCGTGGGCTGGGTGGGGACTGGGCCAGCAAGGGGGGTGGCTCCTCGGCTGCACCCTGATCCCCTGCTGGATGCGGCCTGCAGACCTCGCCCATAGCACGCCTCCCTGTGTGGGGCCAGAAGGTTGAGCACCTCTGGCCTAGGAGATGCCTAGGCCTGTTCTTGTGTATTATCCGTTGTGCGGTCACCCCTGTGGAGCAGGACTGCCGGGGTGCAGCCCAGCATGAAAGCCTCTGCTTCGAGGAGCTGGTAGTGTGGCGAAAAGCTGTGCCCTGACCGCTTGGCACATCAGGCTGCACGAGCCCATCTTAAGGGACCAGTTCCAAATGGATGTATGTTGAGGGAAACAGGTGCCAGCTACAGGACTCTGTTCAAATGGGAAGGTGTGAAGCATCATCCCGGTCCCAGGCACTTTGGCTAAGATCAGGATGCAGTAGTATTGAGCCCTGTGGATTGGTGCTACTCACCTGTGTGTTAGCAGCAGCAGCAGCATCCCATTTTATTGCAGCTCCTGTGCTCATTGGAGCCTGGGCAAATTGGCACAGCAGCTCTGGTTTGGGGACTGGCAGCGGGTAACATGTTTTCTCCTTGGGATGTTGTGGAGGAGTGTGGGTGGCAGTAACACTAGCCCGACCCATTCCAGTTATTAGAAAAGACATCTGCTACATGCTGTGGACTTGAAATAGGTGAGGCAGAAGGCCCTCAGAATGAAGGATGCAAACACAAATGGTAAAGAGGAGTAAACAGAATTCATATAGACTTGGGGTTAGATGGTAAACCTCCTTGAAGTATTTCAGGGTAATCCCTCTTGCTCATCTAGAAGTGCTTCCTACAGGAAGTTTACTTGTGGATTGATTTATATAATTCTTATAATGTTGCCACACAGGTGGGAAAGGGTACAGTTTCTATTTGGATACCACCTACTGCTCGAAGCAGCTAAAAGTTTCATATTTAGTAAGTGAAACATGCAGTACACCCCTTTGCTACTAATGGCAGATTAAGAGGATTCAAATTCTGATTTACTTTTTCCTCAAAGTATTTGTTTCTGAACAATGAAACTTGACTTGCTCTTGGGTTGCTTTCATTTCTCTGGTTCCTCTGGGTTACTCGGTACTCTAGAGCAGGGGTGTCAAACTCATTTGGCCTCCAAGGCTGGATCCCAACTAAAGGACTTTTTATAGGCTCGATCTGGCTTTCATGGCTTATTGTGGGCTGGATTTGCACCAACGTCCAGCAAAGGAATGAGTGGCCATGTTGGCTCAGGGAGCTGTGGGAGTTAATGCAGCCATCTCTTCCCACTACCACTGATATGTAGAGGCGCACCAATACATTGGTCCATATCGTACCAGCACTGATAAAAGGGAAATTGACATTATCGGCAATTGACTTTTTTTGGCTGATGTGGCCGATAATGTCGCTGATAAATACTGTGTGCATAGGCTCAGCAGCAGCAGCATGCACGTGGCCAGGAATGCAGCCTGGCGTAGATTCATAGATTCATAGATTCAGGGTCGGAAGGGACCTAGTAGATCTTCTAGCCCGACCCCCCGCTAGGGCGGGAGAACAACAAAAAAACCCCAAAAAGAGAAATGGGACTCAAACGAGTCCAGCCAGGTAGGCATCCAGCCTCTTCTTAAAGACCCCCAGGGTAGGGGCCAGCACCACTTCCCTTGGAAGTTGGTTCCAGCTCCTAGCCGCCCTAACTGTGAAGTAGTTTTTGCGGATGTCCAATCTATACCTCCTCTCCATCAACTTGTGCCCATTACTCCTTGTTATGCCAGCGGGCGCTAGGGGAAACAGCGTCTCCCCCAAACCCTTCTGGTCCCCCCTAGTGAGTCTATAGACGGTCACCAGGTCCCCCCTCAGCCTTCTCTTGTGGAGGCTGAACAGGTTCAGGTCCCGCAGTCTCTCACTGTAGGGTCTGCCCTGTTGTCCCCGGATCATGCGGGTGGCCCTCCTCTGGACCCTCTCCATGTTGTCCACATCCCTCTTGAAATGGGGCGCACAGAACTGGACACAATACTCCAGCTGTGGCCTGACCAGCGTCGCGTAGAGGGGGAGGATCACCTCCTTGGCTCTACTCGAGATGCACCTGTGGATGCACGACAAGGTCCGGTTAGCCCTGCCAACCATGACCTCGCATTGTCGGCCCATGTTCATCTTGGAGTCAATAACTGGCAGTCTGACCAGTAAGTCTCTAGGGAGGGAAGGGGCGTGGGGAGGCCAGATCAAGGCCCCCACAGGGAGAGAGGGAGGGTGGGGTGGGGTGTGGGACGGAGCTCCAGGCAGCTTGTCCGGGGTGTGTGGGGAACAAAGGGTGGCTTCTGCTGCTTCATGCAAGCCTGGGGGAGGCATGGGGGGCATGTGCCCCTGGATTTGTGCATGGGGTGAGGGCAGAGTGCCCACTCAGGGCTGGAGTGGTGCTGAGCTCTTCCTGGCAAGGAGGTTGGGCCAGGGCTGCGCTCAGGCTGAGTGATGATGCTGGGGAGGGTGGGCTATACCCACCCCAAAATTTGCTGTAGTCCCCCCCACAAACTACCCCCTCCTCACGCTGCTGCCTGCTTAACCCCCCCCAACCAGGAAGAGCCTGGTGCCACACTCAGCACCAGCCCACTGTGGCATCCTGCCCTCGCTGTGCATGCAGATCTGGGGGGCATGTGCCCCCCCATGCCTCCCTCAGGAGCTGCTGCCCACACCCCCCAGATGAGCGCCCATCCTGCCCTGGCTGTGCAGCCCCACTCCCTCCCTCACCATGGGGGCCTCGATCTGCACCCCATCCAACAGACTTACTGGCTGGACACTGCTCTCCATGCTGCTGGACTGTATTGGCCAATACCTCTCGTTAATAATCAGCTGTCTGTATGGGCACAAAAACTCTTTATCAGTGCACCCCTACTGAAATGCATGCTCAGTGGGGTTCTATACCCTGGATTTTGGCAGAGGGACTTACGCCTTCTCATTCCCCCTGAATTCCTGGACCTTCCAGGAGCCCTGAGGGCCAGATGACATGGCTCTATAGACTGGATCTGGCCTGTGGGTTACATGTTTGACACCCCTGGTTTAGTGTTTTATTTTGAATGCTACAGGATGGAGAAGAGAGGGGAATATTTCAGTGAGAATTAAAGTAATTAATGAACCAAGTGTTGTTTTACTGTGTAAAACCCCTTTGTTCACAAAATCTGGTGTTGGTAAATGTATCGGTCCTGTAAATGTGCATAACAACTGGCTTAATATATACTTGCTTGTAGTGATAGATGAGAAAAATTGGTAGGAATTGTATGCGCTTCTGACACTGTCCTTATATTTAAAAAATGGATTGGAGGCAAGAGACCTGATCCCACAATTTCTTGTGGAGAGTTTGTAGGTTCAGCTTTGAGATGCTGAACGTGTCTATGTTCTATCAAAAAAGAAAACGCTGTTCTACCTGAAGAGAAAAGTTGGAAGATAATTACTATTTACTCATATTTTACTTCAGGTTCTTTCTGCACATCTTTCAAAGGCTTCCTGGAGATGCATCTTTTGAGAGTTTATCTTTGCTGAGAAGAAAATAGTCAGTTTATTAGGACATAGATATTTGGTACTTCATCTTTTGGATATGCCATGAACAATAGTATATTGGAAAGCTTGTGATTTAGATGCAAAGGATCACTTTAACAGTCTCTTGATTGCCATGAGACACTAGATCTTTGCTTGAATAGTGTGTGTCAAAAAACAGGACCCATATTACCACTTTCAAAGATTTGCTCATAATACTTTAATGTGATTAGCAAATTTTGTGCTAATGAAAGCCAGTCACATGCTTCATACTGTTAACAATTACAGGCAATTATCAGTTTGTAGGAAGTAGCCATTAGTCACCTGCTAGTGCTTGTAATTAGGATTTGATTCAAATTGTTGAGTGTTAAAACAAGAGAGAAGCATTACATTGTGAAGGTTTCTGATGCATTGAATGATTTGCTTTCTTTCTGGAACACTTGATAATAGCCAGGGATCCTAGAAATCTGTTTCCATGCAAAAAGGTGGAATTTGCCTTTTTACAGAGAATGTTTAGAATCACAAGGGAAAAAAAAACCTTGAAAATAAAATGCTGGGTCCCCAGTGGTGCCCAGCTGGTCCCATTTCCTGCCCCCTTCCATTGCCTTGACTGCAAGTCTGGAATCTCGGGGCTCTCCCTCTCTCCTCTGGCTTTCACTTGTGCCCACCTCAGGGAGGTGGGGAGCTGTGGTATGCTGCTATGGGGAGGTGATGATGAGCTCAGAACATGCCATGCAGCAGTGGGTGCAGGTGTCTGCTTAGTGTGTGGCTTGAGGGCTCATGGCTCCCGCTGGTGCAGGTCCCACAGTGCATGGCCCTCACTGGTATATGTACTGCTGGTGCAGTACATAGGGAATGTGGCCCCCGGCTGCTTAGAAGCTGGGCAGTTGCAGCATACCTCATCATGGCACGCTGCGCAATCCTAAAGCATGAGCCTTTAGATGTGACTCTTAACTTGAGATGTTTAGCAAATTGCTGCATTCTTAGGAGTTGGGATGGTTTCTTCCTGGTAGGGGCAGGATATTTAGCAAAAGCAGAGGCCAAAGCTAGACTTTCATTATGGTCTTCAGATTCAGTGAGCAACTCTTCTGATCTGATCTGATCTGATCGTCAGTGCTATTAATGTAGAAACAGAAGACTTTATTATTCCATCATTCTCTGTTGACACTCCTTGTGTGTGTGTGTATGCCAGTTTATATTACATTCTTGATCATTTGAGTTCATCATTTGTTTGAATTAATGGTTACCTAACATCAGATTTGCTCATCTTTGCAGAAATGGTAACATAATGCTTTCTTTGATTTATGCAGATGGCATGGGAGTTTCATTGGGTCAGTAAGGTAAAAGTGCATACAGGCCTTCATATTTTCTTTATTTTTTTTTGCAGGCAGAGCTTAGGCTCATAGAAAAGGACAAATTATGTCTCCTGAAGTTGCCTTGAATAGAATTTCTCCTGCGCTCTCGCCTTTCATATCCAGTGTGGTCAGGAACGGGAAAGTAGGATTGGATGCTACTAATTGTTTACGTATTACAGATTTGAAATCTGGGTAAGTATTTGAACTCCGTTTCCAAGGAACAGTCTTTGGAGATATGTAAAGTCTTTATTTAAGAGTGTTCATTTTACTGTTCCCATTTGTATTTTAAATGTTCCCAATATATTTGGAGCAGGGAGGTTAACCAGAATGTTTTCTTTTGTCCTTGACTACACTTCTTTAGTGCTTGAGATTTTAAATTTGTTTAGCTGTTGCTAATAGCTGTTTTGCTGGGGGAAAAAAAGGTTCAGGAGTTGCTTTGGTAATGCTGTGTTTTGAAGATTCTGTCTCCTTGTTTATCCTTTGCTTATTTTCTCAATCTAAAGTGGATCTTGCATACTTTGGACTAATGGATCTTGCCTGTGGGGAAAAAAAGGCATACATTGCTGTAATGGGAAAAGAATAGATCTCTTTCAGTCTGATTTGTTTCAAGGAACCAATAGGTACATTCATTACTTATACCAAAAGTCCTGTCGTAACTGGTGTATTTTTGTTCTGTAACTCTAATGCAAAATGAATAAGTACTGTTGAGACTAAGGACTAGAACCGGGACTTTCCTCTTCCTCCTCCTGCATAAATATGTTCCTCACTGGGCTCTATAGTCAGGCTCCTATTTGGTTGTGCGTTCACTTGCTCTCGCTCACTCTCTTTGGCCCCAGAATCTTGCATGGCTTTTTTGGCAGTGGCCCAGCTTCAGCAAGAAGGATTGAGAGTAGCCTCCCTACTCTAGATTAACCAATACTCTGGTGAGTAAGTCACACTTCTGAAATGTGGGGTTTGAATCCCAGTCAGGGTAAGGAGAGTATAGAACCCAGATTTCCTATTTTCTGAGCAAGTCCTCTTACCTCTAGCTTTTTCTATGAAATTTGGGGAGCATCACCATCGCTGCTTGTTTTTGTGGGCCATGACTGCTGTGCTTTGTGCCAAAATCAATTCTGTCATTTTGCATTGTGCGTGTGCTGAGTTAAACCTACAGGATTGGGCCTGTAGAATACCTAGTGGTGGGGACCCTTTGTGAATCTTACACCTATGGCCTTTTGAGACTGCTGAGCCAAGCAAAAGGGATAGAAAGAGGTTTATACAAAACCATATGGCAAGAAGTTGCTTGACTTTCAGGTATGAATTATATTGCATGTATAATATAAGTTCTCTTTTTTTTTTTTTCCTTCTTAACTGGTATTTTTTGAATA